AGCGTTGTTTTTAAACTTGTAGTCAAGCTATAACGTATTTGATATTTATCATGTATGACTAAAATCATGCATTGATTAAAAACGAATTCTGAGCAAAAACAATAAGGGTTTTTTTCCCTTTCTGGTAGCCTACTAGTTCGGAGGTCTCTTTTGGCCCGTTTTTAACGAAATAAAAGTAACTGCTTTATTTATTTAAAAGCAGGGTAATTTAAATTTCATTTTTGTATTGTAATTTTTATAATTTTTATTTTATTAATCAAAATACAACGCCCACAATATAATATTCAGTGTTAAACTCAGAACGCGTGTATGTTAAAGGGGTGAGCTGAGAAGCCTACTAATGTCTTCATCCGTTTGCAGATAATCGTCTGTTGCCTGACTGTTGACATCGACATCGTAATACTTATGAGACATCGTCGATATACGATAATATCGTCATATCGCCCAGCCCTACTCAGAACCTGTCTTGTGTTGAAATGTGCTAACAGATACAGCAAAGCAAATTTAATGCAGTCTCATGTGTCTTTAGACAGTGTCCGTCTGTTTGGTGGTAACAGCAGACTATAAATCAGGAAGTTTAAACGTGTGGAAGCTTTTCACGTACAGCTGTAGAGATCGCCACACTGACTCATAAGATCTTGAAGGGCGTGCGATAATCTAATTGTTGTTGAAATGGAATCAAGTCAATCAAAGTAGGTATGGAGTAAAGGCCATGTTGTTCTTGCAGATTATCAAAAGATTGATTCCTCAGTCTGCGTGACTCTGAAATCCGAGCATTGAGGTACAGACGTAATGTGGAGACAATGTGGTGTGACAGAATCACTTTAGGAAGTTTCTGTCTTCCTTCCCTCTTAAATATATTGGCTACTGTTGACCTGATGCCATTTGGCATTTAGCATTGGTAGTCAGGTAATCTTCGCCTCACTGTCTTCCAAAGAGGTTTTTCAATGAGAAATGGCACTGTTGTTTTACTGCATTTAAAAGCAATGCATATTAAAGCAGATTGTGCATTTAATAGTGCTTTTCTTTTAATCGAGCGTCTTGTTTGCCAGCCAGAACTTGTTGCACTGTTGCAATATAAAGCCCGCAGCAGAAACTCGGCTAGCTGGAATCTCTTACGTTTCTGAAAAACTCATCCCCGAACAGCCTTCCTGCATGTGTCACTGGGTGTAGTTACCAGGATGTATATTTTTGCACCCCAAACAGACACCTGCTGTGAGAGACTTCTTTTTCGCAGCACGATCCTCTGTTTTTGTATCACTATGGGCAACAAGGTGGTGTGACAACAAAAACTGGAGTGGAGTTCCACAATTTTGTCATCACTATTATAAAAACAGATAGAAAGGGCAATTATCACTATGGAACCAGACACGTTTAACAGTCTTCTCCTTCTTCACCTTCTCATAGTCTTTGTTCCAAAGGTAAGCTTTCTCTTTTTACAACACACTCCCCCTCCCGATCGGAATCATCCTCCGCTCCGGGTTGGGGGTGGTGCGGAAATCTGGAAAGGGTTACTGGGGGAGGAGGAGGAGGATGAGGAGAGAGGAGGGGAATTGTAGAGTTGTAAGTGTGAACAAATGGTCTCCATGGCAACGCTCGACCGATTCTCTCTGGCTGCAGAGCCCTTTGCTTTTGGTGTGCTGGCGACGGATGGACTAGGGTTGTGTCGGCAATTGAAGATTGAGGGTTTGGCGTATGTGGCTGTTTTGGGGGGGAGGAGAGGGTGGGATCTATTTCATTAGATATTGAAATAGATCTGAAGAACTGCCTCTCTTAGATAATTTTCTCATTGTGCCTCGGATCTTTAACACAGTATATACAGTGGGTACGGAAAGTATTCAGACCCCCTTAAATTTTTCACTCTTTGTTATATTGCAGCCATTTGCTAAAATCATTTAAGTTAATTTTTTTTCCTCATTAATGTACACACAGCACCCCATATTGACAGAAAAACACAGAATTGTTGACATCTTTGCAGATTTATTAAAAAAGATTAGATATTGAAATAGATCTGAAGAACTGCCTCTCTTAGAGAATTTTCTCATTGTGGCTCGGATCTTTAACACAGTATATATGTAGGGCGCTGTGAAATTTTTAAGTAAAAAGTTTTTATTTTTCCTAAATTCCGTTTTTTTTCTGTTTTGATTTTTCTGCATTTCATTTTTTTCCTTTTTAATTTTTCTAGACTGTCTTGTAATGTTAGATTAAATTTTTATTATTTAAAAAGCATGTCTAATTAATTGAAATCATGAAACTTACACAATTTAACAGCAATTTATTACAAAAATTACATTTTTAAGGCCCTATGGAATGTTTTATTTTTTTCCCCCGAAATTCAGTTTTATTTTATTTATTTATTATTATTATTATTTTTTTTTTTTACCAAATACTGTGTTTTCCATTCTTTTTTTCTGGATTCCATTTTAATAGTTTCATTAAATTGTAATAATCAAAAGTATCTCTAATTAATCAATTTTATAAACAATTTATTTATGATTATTTTATTTCTTTCTTTTTTTCCAGAAATACTGTGTTGTGTATTTACATGTTTCTGCTAAATAAATTCTGGTAAATATATATTTTAAAAAATATTTATAATTATTATTGCTCTGAAGACTAAGTTTCTGATTGTATATGATAGGACGATAGATTTTCTCAAAAGAAACGGTAAAATGTAGCGACTCTCAAAGCAGTTCTAGAGATTGTTCATGTACCCATACATTAAGGCGGCAGAGGCTGAAAACATCGGGAGCATCACGCGCGCTTCAGTATGTGTGTAGTAAACGAAACCACTCGTCTGCGCCATTCATTCATACAGACACGCAGAACATGCAGGATTCATATTTAAATAGTCTTTTTGTGGCTTAATATTCACAGACACTAGTCCATGTCATGTTTTGATTTAACTGTGCTGAACTACTCTTGATTTATCCTTTTAAAATTTGG